GTTTGTTGCTAAAGCAGGTATGTGTCCAGATTTATTTACTTTTAACAACACCGAAGATCTATTTTTTTTATGATGATGGAATAGTAACACAAAGCAATACATCTTATTCAATTTTTAACCACTGAGGATCACTTCAAGTCAGCCTTCCATTTAGATCTAAAATGAAAGGAACTTACCATTTAGGGTGTACACGATCTCTCTAAAGTAGCTTATGGTGGTTTAGAAAGCTAGCAAGGCTGCTCTGATATTAAAAGCAACAATGAAGGGAAGTGGTTAGTCAACTAGCTGGTTCTGTTATTCCCTCCCACTTCTTACAGCAGTACCTATCTCTGTGGGGTTATAATTGAGCTCATTATCCCAGCTCTTAAATTTATTTATTTTTTAAAAAACAAAAACAAAAGAAGTGCAACACCACCTTTGCAGGACTACTAGTGCTTCAGACCAGATGTTCAATACCTACACTCATAATAAATACTAGATACAACATCCAAGCAGTGGTAATCTCTGTTTGGAAATCTTGGAGAGAAAATTAAAAAAAAAAAAATCACAAGCAAAAATCTATTTAACAGTAGTTTTTTCATTGCTGCTTTGACTGGAGATAAGATTCTGCATTAGTGGGAAGAGAAAAATAAATTATCTGTATATATGGTTAGTCAAGTTACCTAACAGCCCCAGTCAAGCTGATTTTCAGTCAACAGATAGGAAATTTTATTCAGGTACTTATGCATATGTACCTGAATAGAGGATGCTATCTAACAAAAAAATCAGTATTTTATAGTCACTCAAGTGACCAAGGGTAACGAGAGACAGAAAAGAAGTAAAAATTATGTAATTTTGTTTTTAATTAATATTTTAATTTTTACCTTAAAGCCATATTTGTTAAAATATTTTCTTACATATGCTGTATGCTTCTTCATTTCACATTACATTTCAGTTCTGTGGAACTTACCTCAAATTTCAATTTCACTGCTGAGCCATGATTTTTTTTTCTAATACACGATGTTTAACACCACACATTAAAGGAACTCTGAAAGAATTAAAACAATCTCAGTGTCCTTTAGTAAGCTCCTTTAAACACCAAGAATTTCCACTTTTAGCAACAAAAGTTGCTAAAGAAATAAATAAACAAGACAGCTCCCTTTTTTTCTGTGCAATAAAATAAAACGGACTGAGATGAGTTGGTTAAAGCTGAGCCACAGAAAGAGCCCAAGTTATCTTTACATTTGTGCTCTTATGGTTTCTTTTCCTTTGGCATTTTTAAAGTACATCAAAGATTTAGTGCCTACATCCAGAGGTTTGAGTATTTGGGATAAATCATAAACTAGACCAAAGCTCAACTTCTCTCCCTGCCAGAAAAACCCTCACATCCAAAAGCCAGCATGTGACTGAGGACAGAAGGAACTACACTCCCTGTGTCCTTCTCCATCATCCACATACTATTCCCAGTCAGCAGGCCACAGAAGCTCTCCTGCTTTTATGAAAGAATGACCTGGCCAAGAACATGCCATACTTCACTTTCTCTCACATTTCTTTCTTCCATCCATAGGGATTTCCCATCTTACCCTATAGAGAAGCTTCATTTTGTAAGAACTTCCAATGTACTGACAAAAGTCTATCAGACATCTATTGCCATCTTCTTCCAGAGCAGGCCATTTCTAACAGCATGATTGTTGCATCTCCCCAGTAACTTGGCATTCAACTGGATATTACCAAGCCTCATTTGGTGTAGCTTGACAGCACGAAAGACCTTAAAATTGTACTTTAAATTTCTACAATATTTAGTTACTGTGCAGACTCTATGGAATCATGTTACTTCTCCTGGGAAGAAAAGGAAACAAGATCTGGAGAGACAGAGATCCTCCAAAACCTGTCAAAAATGTAACTCTTGTAGGTTATTAAAAAAGACTTTACTCATAAGGAGTAGAAATGTGGTGATGCTACCTGGTTTTTATGCAATTTCCTGGTACAGTAAGCAAATACATCATGTTGCTAAACACATCACGCTGTAACTGCTGTGTGTTTCCCCTATCTCTCTATCAAGATACTGTCCCCATAGTTTTACTTACCTAATGAAAGGTAAGTGTTTTACCTGGTGGTCAAAACATTTATGGAATTCCAATATATACACTGGAACAGCTCACACAGACCATTCATAGTTCATCTGTGACCACTGCATCTTAATGCTCAAACTGCTGTTTAGCTTAAGGACAGATTTCCCCTCACTTGTAATGACAGTACTGGTGCAAAGGAATTAAGATTTGTGGAGCAGCTTTGACAGCTTTCCCCTATACATATTCAGGGAAACTGGGTGTGGGCAGGTGGGTGTGCTTTTATCCAGGGACACCTTTCACTGGATCAGGTTGCTCAGAGCTTCATTCAACCTTGCCCTGAACATTTCCAGGATGGAGGTCTACCACTTCTGTGTTCCACTGCCTCACCATCCTTACAGTAAAGAATTTCTTCCTAACACCTAATCTAAATCTGCTCTCCTTCACCTTACATCCATTAAGTACTGGAAGGTTGCCCTAAAATCTCCCGGGAGACTTTTCTTCACCAGGCTTCACCAGCCCTCTCAGCCTGCAACTATCTTTAGCTACTAAATAAACAACCTATTATTCAAACTTCCACAGAAAGCCTTCAACATTTTTCATGAAAATCCACAAATTCGGGGTCCTTAGAACTCAACAGAGAACCCATGTTGGAAATTTTATTAGTATACAATAAATGTGAGTTTCCTGTCAATGTGCAGATTGGATAGCATTAGATACAGTAGTTAAATAACAAAACAGACATAAATTGCCAGATTGCATCATATAAAGAAAATACTACCTTCAGCTGTAGAAGCATTAATTTAATTAATTTAATTAAGTAATATAACACAAGCAGATACTCCTTTCAGTATCTGCTGAAATCTCATCATTCATTTGTACAGTGGCTTATCAAGAAATAGTAAACTTTAAATATTGATAGCAAATAAAAATTACTGCACCAAAGTTAGTGCATAAAGCTATTTTCATTGGTCACAATACATATAATTGATATGTATGCCACATGGCAAACATACCAGACATCCAGGCAACCCACAAATTTTGGAACAGTCAGCAATAGCGTCTACTGCTCTTCTCAGTCTGCTTCTACAGCATTCAAATGTTGCTCTGTTTGGTGTGGTGTTTCTACTAGGTTAACACCACCAGAGCAGAAAAAATAGCTACATGTTTCATTTTAAAAGACAAAACATTATAAACTAGGACATTTTTTTTATACATTAGGTATCTATTTTTCTTCCAGCATGAGTGTTAACTATGTCATCCTTTCTGTCTTGGGAAATCATTACAGTCCTCCTTTTTATTTAAAATAAAAAAATAAAATAAAATAAAAAATCTAAACTGTTATAATCCCCATTTAGACCAGTTGTTATACATTACTGAAATTCCATGAGGAAGTATAACTTTTACAAATATGGACAGCTTGTTTCATTTCCCTAAGCTGTTTCTTTACAATATCTTTGCATAACTGGGCCGGAGGGGGAGAGTAGAATCTAAAAAAAACGTGGTCATACAGACAAAACAGAAATGGCATCTTTTAAAAACTGACCTGAACATTTTGGTCTATTCAATAGACTGAAAGCACGCCTAATTAACAACGCCAGGATTGCATATCCCAAGGTATGCAGTACATGCTACAGTGAAGCCCTTCAGCTACCCACAGGACTTAGGTTTTCTGAAAGTTGTGGGTTTTTTTAATATCAAAACCCTCCCAGTCTCCCTGTTCCCAGATCCCAGGCATCCTGAGGCCAAGAGCTCCGTCAGAGGAAGCTTGAGAATTATACACATCACAGGAGAATCAATGCCAGCTTTCCTTTTTGGGAACACCTTGAGGCTTCTTCAACACACAAAGACTCTGAGACTAAACAAGCACTAAATTAAACGAGAATGCTCTTTATCCTGTGTAGGGTTACACAAGGAGCAAATTTACTTTACAAAGACGGCTTATTTTCAGAGCCTAGGAGACAAATGTAACTTATGTCTGGATCACTGCTGGTACAGGCCCCTCAAGCTGTTCCTGGATGGAGTGACTCCAAGAAGGTTCAGCACTGCCTCCTCTATGAGTGATAGTCACAAAGCAGCATCTCTGTGTTCTTATGTTACTCATGATCCACAGCCAGAAAAGAAACTCATTTTGTGCATATTTGTTCTTACCTCATGGATCCTTGATATGCACTCTGAGCATGCTGGAACTTTCAAAGTTATTTTACATCTTTCATAGATAATGTTTTCTCTTACAATCCAATATTCCATTACCATTGATTATGTAATCTCAGCTATTGCTCACAGTTGGACTTAAAGGAAGAGATGACCAAAGCAAGATACATGAAGCTGTCAGAAAAGATTGACATCTGAAGTAAAACTCTTCAGTGAAATTTATTACTCATTTACAAACCTTACTTTTTGGGGAAATTTTCTCTCACACATCAATCAAAATACAGAGAGATCAGCACCTTATGCACAAGAACAAACCACTGATGACATGTTCTACCTAACACGCTGTGATAATTATTTTTGCAATGAAAATTATGAGCTTCATATTTGCCCATGGGAATTTTCATGTGAAATTATGCCACCTTTTCTAATGTTTTGTGTAACAGCTGTGGATTCTTCATGCTTAAACACACATTGTCCTTCATGACACATGATCTAGACACTTCCTTTTATTTCAGTATGAATTAAACAAATCAAGAAATAAGCCCATTTATGATTCCATTGCTAAAAATGACTGTCACAGGATGCTCAAAGTGAAAAAAACTTTAAACAGAATTAGATCAGACAGGACAAGAACCTTTTCCCTCTTTCACATTTCAGAGTATGTAGCAGATATGGAAATAAGCCAAGATACTAGCACATATAAGTCAAATTGGGTATTATTTCTCCATGAAGACTACACTTTTCAAACAAGTTCAAAAGTACTAAAGTTGGCTCCCAAAATCCTCTTAAAATTTTCTTTAACTTCCAGATGACACACTGAAAATATGAAAAAAAAGAAAAAAATGTGTTAAAGAACTGATGCTTGCAGCAGTACTTCAAAAAGTTCATGGTGATTTTTTGTATTCAATTTTAGTCACTATTAAGGCTTCAATTCTTAGTTTATGTATTCCAGATAAACCAGTCCAGTGTTTTAAAGAACCTAAATATAGATTCTCAAAATGAGAGTCAGAAAAATAAAAAGAAATATAAATTTTCTGGTCAATTTGAAAAGCACTGACCTGGTATAGCCAGAGTTTACCTCTGCTTGAGGAAAAAATGGTGCAAAAAATAATAGACTATAAGTCTGTTATTTCAGTGTGGGTGAAGAGAAGGATGAAGGATAAATGTTGCTGCACTGACTCTACAACTACTCTTTATCATGTTTTTAACATATGGCATGGATGCACAAAGCTCCAAATGAGGAGCATTTTGTGAGGAGCTTTTTTTAAAATCACAGGAATAAACAAGTAAAATAGAGTACTAGGAACATCTCTACAAAGGGACTACCGTACAAAACACTTTGTTCCCCTTCATTAAAGAAAAATGTCTTCCAGTTTCTCTCCAAACTCAATATTCCAACTGTTGATTTTAGCCAGAATGCCTCAACAGGAATACTCCCTAAATGCCCAGATTTCACAGTTATAGTGGCTGGTGATATTTTTGTATTCTCTTGCCTTTTTGTCTATAATTTACCTACCATTTAAGTTCCCAGGCTTGATCTGAAGTATTAGGATGAGATCTGGGCATGTATGAGCTACTCCTCTGCATACCTATTTACACAGAAAATAAACCAGGGTATGTAGCCCAGCAAGGAAGTGCAGCACATACCAGTAAGTACCCATGAAACAGATCCCAGACATGCAGAAAGATCATGAAAATCATTAGGTTTTGTTTTGGGGTTTTTTGCTTTATCTTTTATTTCTAGAAAACAACTCCAAAGTTTAACAGCAGAAATACTATCTTACCTCCTATACTTCCCTTTTTTGGCACTATTTTAGATGCAGTGATGCCTGCTGGCTCAGAGGAAAGTGATCTCTCTTTTTCTGGGAATTGTAAAGGCAAGAGCTAAAGCTACTATATTTACTTTGTCTCAATACTTTCAACAGCAGAGAGAAAATATATGGGAAAAAAATCCAGAGGATAAAAACCTCATAAGGATTCTTTTCTTTACCTTTTCCCCTAGTTTCTCAATAATTTTGTCTCAATTTTAGAACCTTCTCCTTTTGGAACATTTTGTCCTCGTTTCTCCCCATCAGAAGCAACACAGGTACTTTGTAATACAGACACTAATGAGATAAGGCTGGTTATTCAATGATTAGGAGAGAGGGAGGAAGACAAACAGGTTAAAAATACATACATAGAGTGATTATATGACTCCTAAATTCTGCATGTCTCTCCTGTGCCAACATTTTTCTTCTTCTGAAACAGAAGTTGTGCATGATCATGCCTTTCTTATAGACAGCAAATGATAGCAAGTAGCACATAGATTTTTGAAGTGCAAGTGGCTCAGAAAAGAAAAAAATATCAAAACCCAATTAGAATTGATTTTTGTTTTGCCAACACTGTCCTACGGTCTAATATTTTCAAACCAGTACCTCCTGAAAAGTAGAACTTTAACAGTGAAAATTTCATTTTACATAATAACTTTTGAGGCTTTCAATGCTCAGACAGCTCAGTCTATTCAGTCAGCTTTACACTATGCAGAGCTTGATGTGGATTTTATTTGGTAATGCCTTAGGTTCTAGTTATTCAACATCTAGCTGCAGTTTAATCTTCTAATCTCTTGTTCTGCTCATCAGTATGACTTTTATATATGCCAATCTCTAATTGTTTAAGGGGAAGCTTAAACAAAAAAAAAGCAGATGCAGAAGCATTTAAAGGTATAAACTCTGAGGGACCCGATAAAAACTTCTTATTTTTATAAGGAAGCTAATCTCTTCCATGAAATAGAGCAACTTCCATGAAGGAAAGTTTTAATCCCCAAAGCAATACTTTCTATCTTCTAAACAAACTTTGCTATTATTTGATGAACCATGAAAAATTTTGAATGATGCTGCACAAGTGATGGTGCTGGAATTGTCTTCTAGTGTCTAAGCATATATACTTAACTGCCTCCTCAAGTCACCTGAAAATCTCTTCCAGTGTTGTCTTAATTTTTAATTCTGACAGGAGATAGCTGCATTTGGCTGTCAGTGTCCTGAAATAGTAAGCAAACACCATGGCTCTGCAGTGTACCTTTCTTGTAAGGAAAAAACCCTGCAATTATAACTGTGTGATACTCTGTATATCAGTGTGCACTGGCATATATAAAGTGCCTATTATCTGTACTGTTACAGACTACAAAATATGCACCCCTAAGGCAGTACAGCAATTTACCAATGATGCCGTGTCTTTAAATAACTATGTTAGAAAAATGAGCATTAAACAACTTTTAATGGCTGCATCTACAGAAAAATTGTGGCACTAAGCCACAGATCTTTCTCATATGAAATTTATATTTAGATACATAATTTCTTTTATCTGTATACCAATTTCTCATTGTTACAGAACATATGCTCTTCCTCAAAATAACTTGCTATTTTTGTACTATTACTCAGCTGCATACTTCCACAAAGCTGCAAGTGTTACTTCAGATAAACTTAGTGCCTTTTTGGCTAGTTTCCATAGTACTTTAATGACACAGAAAAAGACTACCTAATGAAGCATGATCCTGTACCTCCTCCACTGAGTTTGCTTTGGGCGATGGCAACAAAACCAGTTGTTTATCAGTTCCCAGTTGAATAGAGGGGATGGAGAGGAGTTAAAAATACAAGTTTTTGCACATTTCCCCTCTGGTAGAAGTCCTTCAGACAGGAACAGTATCATATCCTACCTCTTAGTAACTCTGATGACTTCTTCTGTTATTTTAAGTATTTCTGAATGGAAAATAGTAGTGGTGCAAATTACACAATTATCTCATCAAAGGGTGGATGAAAGAGATTGTTGAAAATTCACAAGATTTAACAACACTGTTACAAGTAAGCATCTTTCTAAGCTTTGATATGATACACTCAGCTACAGCAACTTAAAATGTCAAATGTTTTCAATAAATTACCACTGACTTGGTAATTGCCATTCAGATGTTCTGCAACTTTTGAATTTCATAGCCAGGCTACAGTACTACCTCTTCCAGAACGTTTTGGCATCAGCTGTTATTATTATTATGTATTATTAGCACACCAATGCCACTTCCCTCCCTCAATCAAAAATATGATTGTACAAGACATACAATTCAGCAAGTCTTATTTTATCTTTAGAAGTAAGTTATTGCAATCATAGAGATATGTGGGGTTTGCTATGTATTTCTTAAAATAGAGACACCCCACACACTTCATATAGGAATAAAGTATTTCAGTGTTCTTCAAAATGAAGCAGCAGCTTGTTTCCTACGAGCTGTAAAAAACAAATTGACAGTCTTCCTCTCCATTTTGATCATCATGATAGATTCAAATGTTTAAAGATAGTGATAGAACAGGAATTTAGCAGGACACATTAGTACTGGCTAAAACCTAGTTGATTTTCATTCTAACTACGCATAAATTTCTTACCAACCATTTACTGCCCTCTCTTCTGTCCTAGAAAACTATTTTACATTACAATACGTGGCATTTAATCATATAAAGTAATACAGTCTCAGGCAAAAAAAATCTCTTTCACATCATTCGTACATATTTTACTCAATAATGCTAAAGTCTACAGTACCAGAATTTTATCATACAGGGATGCAAACAGTTTCTAACCTAAAAAAAAATAAAAAATAAAAAATTCTATAAATAAAAATAATTTCAACCCTGGAAATTTATTGAATCCTAGTTTTATAATAATTTAAGCCTGAAATGGACTTGCTAAACTTGGTGACTTTGGGCCACCGACCTTCCTCTGTAACTCCTCCCTCAGGAAGCTATAAAATCTCTGTCCTGATAAATCCGTTTGTTTAGGGATTTTCTGAGAGGAAACACACTGCTTTCAAGAACTGCTTAAAGCTCCAGAGGGAAAAAAAAATTAAAATGTTTGGAAGTCTAAAAACTGAGTGCAAATGAGGTTCTTCATCACACAGGGAATGCATCATTTGCTGTTTGCACAGCTCCAGCTCAGCAGAGCTGTTTCTGGACATCCAACATGAATAAAGTATCTATGAAACATTGTGAACTTACTCTTCCTTGAGCATATCTTACCACTTTTTAATACCAGTGGTTTTTAATCTGTTTTCCCTCTAATCCTCAGAGATGGCAATTATTATCCTAGGAAAAATAATCCTAAATTGTTAGTGACCATGAAGTAAAACTGCCAGGACACAGGAGTTGTAAGGGAAGGAACCTCCAGCTGGGGAGCACTAAAAGACCTGAGAGCAGGAATATGTAGAGCACTAAAAGCAGGAATATCTCTTCAACTGCTCCAGGAAGAATAAAACGGGAATGTCTGACCAGTTTAGGCATTAGGCCCACATTTGCCAGAAATAAAGTTATACTTTTAAACATGTATCTATTAGCTTGTGCTATCAACATGAGCTATCCCATAAGCTGCTTTTGCAGAGTTTTCTGTATTTGTTACATGACTCCTGCTGAGGACAGCTCCACGTTACACAACGTGGATGCAAGAAGCTCTAAGAAGGAAGCTGAGGCTGTTCTCTGGGAGGCAGGGAGGGATGGCAGTAATGTACTGACCTTCTCTTTGCCTTTTCCATGCTCCACAGCATTCCACATGCTGCTGGGAAGTAAATTACTTGGCTTACTTAAAGCCTTCAGAACAAAAGCAAAAAAGCATAGTCACCACACTGATTTAGTCATCAGAAATCCACTCTCTCCTACAAACCTATTCTAGCAATTTATCTGCCTGGGAGTCAGCTGCCTCACATCACAGCACAGCAGGGCCACTATCACTTAATCATTATCATTAAACCACATGCAGCCACACAGACGTGGTTAACTGGAGTATTCTTTGCCCCTCTCTGTCTCCCATTGGGAAATTAGTCTGTTCTCACAGAAGCATAAGGTTAACAAAATTGTTTTTGCTGCCCTAGTAGTGCTGGCTAGCAGAATAAGTCTCTTCAGTGTAAGACATTAATAGGAAGAGAATAAAAACATCTTAACACTGTTGTCTTTGCTGGTGATATTATGACGAAGAAATACTTTACCAACAAAAAAGGAACTCAAATAAAAATCCATATAGCAACAGATATTTGTCTACATGTACATAAATGATCTTGTAGACTGAAATGGGTCCACCTGTAAATTCATAAAAGAATAAAACCAGGGAAAAAAAATTAAGCAATGTTACCTTGGTATACCTCAAACATGCTTGGATCAAAGCTTGGTTTGAATTTCATGCATTTGATTGAAAAAATAAAATATAATCAAAAAGAAATCTACACTGACATTCCTGACTGCATATTTTTTTTAAAGTATCCCGGTCCACAGTTTGAAAGAGCTAATGTTCAGTCATTTAAATTATTCATTATTCAAAAGAAATAAGCTCTGCATCTAACAGAACCTTCAAATACCTTGATAATACTTTGAGTTTACATTAAGTGAAGATGAGCCAAGATCAAATTATAGTTTTTTTCTTTAAAAAAAACAAAAAAAACCTGTTAGTTTAAGAATTAGGAAGTCAACAAAAACATGCAAAAACTTCAACTGGTTGTTGGATGAAACATAAGGTAAGACCAGTATCTTATCTTCATCAGTATTCTCAAGCAGGGAAAAGAAACAACAGGACATATATGATGCTCCCCTGAATAGTCAAGATTCCAAACCCTGTCCAAGGAACTTTTTGAGGCAGGTATGATTGTGGTATGCTAAGAAACCTTCAGGCATTTCTCCTAAGGTCCTTGTTTACAATCCCCTTAGACTCAGATTTTAAAAAAAGAAAAAAATTGGCCCCTTCCTTTATTTTGAACCTGTTCCCAACCAGCTTCTTTTGAAAGCTGCTTTTTTTGACACCCTCAAGTACCCGTGGGGCACCCATGCTGGAGCAGCCTGCTCCTCAAGGACTGCACCCAGGGCAAAGGTACCCAAATCAAAAAGAAAACTGGGAGTGAAACTGAGCCTGGAAGAAGGGAGGAATGATGGAAAGGTGTTTTAAAGGCTTGGGGTTTACTTTCTCATTATTCTATTCTGATGTGACTGGGAATAATTAAATTTCTCCGAGTGAGTCTCTTTGGACTGTGACAGTCATTGGTGAGTGATCTCTCCCTGCCTTTACCTCTGTTCACCAGCCTTTCACTATATTTTCTCTCTCCTGACAAGCTGAGGAGGGGAGGGATGGAGCAGCTTTGGTGGGCACCTGGCATCCAGTAAGGATCTACCCATCAAAACTGGCAAAGGACCTGGCTATGTTTATGGGTGCCCACCAAAACCCTGATATCTAACACCTGAAATGTTAATTTGGCCAAAACCAGACTGCAAAATACCTCCAGAGCTGACTAATTCCATGTGCTTGGATTATCAAACTCAAACAAAAGAAACAAACAAAAAACCAACAACAAAGAAAACCCACTAGAATATTTGAATCATTATTTAATTCACCTGTCTGGGACTCACTCTCCTGATTTACTAGAACAGAACCTCAGTGATTTTGTTACGCAGCTCTGCTGGCTCTTTAAAATTCTGAAAATATAGCAAAACTTTCAGATTCTAGAACAGCACTTCAGGATCTCTGACTTTATATAAATTTTGGCCCACTAGGAGAATGAACAATTCTCTAGGTGAAAGCCTGATCCGGTTACCTGTCTAAAATATGTGCTGTTTCAATCCCTATGTTACACTTAATTGTGATTGCATCTCTTATGCTACAAAAAAAATGAACCACAAACCCAGCATACTTTACATTTCTTGCATATATCTTTTGAAAAGCTTGTAATGTAAAACAAATGTTTCAGGAAATTAATATTGCTTATTAAGGAAAGCATCTTTCTCACAGTCCTACATTCACATTGAAATAATCCAAGAATTTGTCAATCACAAACAAATCAGCAGATACCAGAAACATAGTTTGGCATGCAAAGAAGTATTAGGAGTTTGAATGACACACTTATTGATAAAATATGAATATATTCATTCTAAGTGTATATTTCTATATCACAAACCAGATTTAGTTTTCCAGCTAGAGAAAACTAACTTTTTGTAAATTCATATTCAGCCTGCTGTTATATAATCCTGATCAATAGTGTTAACTCCTGCAAGTCTTGCATTTTTTGGTAAAGAAACCTTCTATCAATAGGGGAAAAAAAAAAAAGTTCATTGGTGTGACAAAATTCTAACATTTGAGTTTGATTATGAGTATAATTTAATAAGTAGTTTATCTCTTCAAGCATCCAGAAGACATGTTAAATGCATGTTTAAGAAGTATTTGCATTTTTTCTACCTTTAAATTGTTGGCATTTCTAGCAGATTAAAATATAAGTATGCAGGAATTGAAAGATATGAAAACTCAAGCCCTGTGAAGCCATTTTTCAACAAAATTATTTTAATTTATTCAGGATAAAAATGCAAACAAATCTTTTGAACACATACTGAGCACAGAAAATTGCAATAAGACTCCAATATGATTATTATAACATAAGGGAGAATGTAGAGAAGTATTAGTGTGGCAGCCTAGAAATGAGAATTTCTAAGGATACAGACATCAGATAAGCGTGAACAGGGGTCACAATGCCTTTCTGTCCAAATTATCAACAATAATTTTCAAATATCAGAAAATCAAGCAAAATATTACAACTTTTTCATCAACAAGCCAACTATACAATAACATTAATTTTAAAAAAATAAAAATTATATAATATTTATGATGTAAGGAAGATGAGAGCCACAGGTATGTCTCAGTGTCACTTGGGACTGAGAAGACCTTGTATGTGCTACAGCTATGCGAGCTTTCATGCACCCTCCTTTTGCCCCTTTCCTCACAGAGATATTTTATGTAAAAAAAGAAAAAAGATCTGTCAGATGCATCAGACATTTTATTTTTGTCTGACAAGAGAAGTGGCAACAATCATTTATTCAAGTATGTTAAGTTTTATACAGATATACAGGGAGTGGAAGAGCACTCAGAAGCAGACATAGAACTAAAAGCTACTGCTTTTAGTACACACAGAATTAATATGTTCACATAGACCATCACAGTTAATGAATTTAGCTACAAAACATATATAAAAATTTTAAAATAAAATTGCTGAAAATTAAATTATTTAGCATATATAGAAAACAGCAGTAAAGAGATGACACTTTCATCTTCCATCATATTCATAATACCTTGATTCTCAGAAGGAACAGAGGTCACAAATAAAAAGCTCACACTTATTTTTTGTGGTATTTCCTTATTTAAAAAATGTAATACTATTTAAGAAGTATGGAGAATTTCTTTTTTTTTTTTGCTTAAAGATACATATTTGAGGAAAACTCTGATTACATTAAGAATTTATTCCAACATTAATTATTTTGGAGAGTAATTAATAGCTATCCATCCACCCTAAGTAATATTAAAATAGTTTCATTTACTGAACCTCACAGATCTATTTCTTCTTTTCCTAATTTTTTTTTTTTTTGTGACAAATGATATCGAAATCACTCAGCAAATTCTGCTGTAAAATCAACATCCTTTCAAACACAAAAAGGGAAACGTATGACTTTAAAGGTTGCAAGAAAAGCTAGAAAAAAGCAGATAACAGTACACTTCAAAAGATACATTGCACAGGAGGGAATATATTACCAGATGGAATAAAAAGCTCAGCACTTTTCCAAGAACTAGCCTGAGATTCTCATATCATCTGTCTCCTGGTCACTAACTATGAATAGATATAATGGGTCCTCTTGCTTACAAATACCAACATACTTTAAATCTAAAAATTATGGCTTTGCTTACAATAACACTGTCAGTTAAAAACAATCAAAAAAGCCGACCAAACCAACCAACAAAATACCCATGTATAAAAGCAATTCTAGACATTTCATCTTCAAAATGAAGTAGGGATTCAAAGGAATATCAAAACACTTGAAAACAATCCAAACTTACTTTTAAAAAAGAATTATTAAACTAGTTCGACCCCATTATTGATACTCACTCAGGATTAACTTAACTCCATACAGTTTAGGTCACCTCCAAAAAAAACTTAATATAAATTAAATTAAGGAAGCTAATTTTAAAAGCATTCTGAACAAGCATTTAATACAATTTGATGAATTTGCTTCAAATCTGGTTAGTGTATATTAATTTTTTGCCTGTCTTTGTGTAAACCAACCCAAAGCCCCTGGAAATGCTATCATGCAGAAAAAACTGGGTAGACTTAAGAACACATCCCATAATGTATGCAAGACCTTCTATAATAAGTGTAAGCTTTAACTATAGCTATATTTTTTCCTGCTCAATTTTTGTTTCAAAGGGGACATTTGCATTTAAATTATTAAATTTGGAATTTTTTCCGTTTAGTAATTCAATTTCCCTCTTCTTTTAGCAATGTTAAAATGAGGACAAGGATCTACTTTTAGACTAATACTAAAAGTAATCACAGAGGAAGATTTCCAACCAAGCTAGAAACTGGCTTAATAAACCAGCATTTCCAGAATGAAACATTTAAGAAAGTTTATTTTTATACAGGAAATTCAGCATTTTCCAGGTAAACACAGGTTTTTACTATTAAAATCTAAAAATAAAGGGTGAATTATGTAAAACCTGTGGTCATTTGCTGTC